CACTCACTGACTCGGCTTTCCTCCTGCAGTCAGCATCATTGCACGTGTTTTGTGAGATGGAGGAGGACTTTGTGGATTGGTGTCGGACATACAGGTTAATGTTGGACTTATGGGCTTGGGCAGCACTGGGTTGGGATGTTTTCTTGATGCGCATTTAACCTTTATATAAAACTCTCTCTAATGTATGATTTTCTGTGGATTTGTTTCTCTAATGTACCCAGACTAACACAGCACCTAAAACACTGAGGAAATTGTACATTGTAGAAATACCTACACAACAGAGCAATGTCAGTCGGACTCTGATGGAAATTGTTAAAACTGTGATTCCATTGATCCCAAGTTCATTCCTCAAAGGGCCCTAGGCTAGCCCCCTGCCCTGGACATGCCTATGATTAGCTACAAGCAAGTATGGCTTGACGGCCACAGGTCCATCATCTTGGCTAGACAAGAAGTCAAAGCCAGGCTCTTCCTAAAAGGAAGACAGCTCAATGGGTCTGGAGTAAGGTTGGTCCATTCCAATTCCAAGCTAATCCTCACTCACTCACTGCTATCAAGTAGATTCCGGCTCTGAGAAACCCATAGGGTAAGGTAGAACTGCCTGAGGATGGGTTTCCAAGACTGACATTATTTGCGGGAGTAGAAAGTCCCAACTTTCTCCAGAGGAGCAGCAGGTGGTTTCAATCTACTGACCTTGGGGATCACAGCCCAGTGCATAACCACTACACCACCCAGCTCCTAGTATATATAAACTTCCAGACCAGTCTGATAACTGCCAGCGTGTGTGCTACACTTCTAACTGTGAAGGCAAAATAAACCCAAACAACCCCACTGTCTGCTGTCAGCAGGCAGCATGAAGGCACGCCTCCTCCGGGATTCTCCAGCAATGATACAGATGGGATCTAGACCGAAACGAAACCCACCAAATTTAAATCCAAGCCACCATGACTTCTATCATCAAAGATTAGCTGAAGTCACCTGCAAAAGCAGCCACCTGAAAGAAAAACGAAACAAAAACAAACCCAAGACCTACCATGAAAAAGAAAGAAAACAAGGGGAAACAAGGGAACAAAACAGCCTATCCTTTGGTCAGGGTTATTAAACTAAGTCTGTTTCTTGTGTATCCTATGCTTGGTTTGGATGAGCTAATGCACATTAGTCAGGACAAGGTGGAAAGAGTTATAGGATTTTTTTTATTAGACAAAGAAGTATCCAGAAATGTACAGTCATGTCTCTTTAAGACCCGGTGATGGCTAATATCAAAGATGGTCAGAAACCAGGCACATCCTTGTTCCCACATAGCCACTGTCCTGGGGACATGCTAGTAGGGTTGCATAACTCCACGTACGTGAAATATCTAGGGTCAGCAAGTCCAGACAGGCAAAAGTAGATTGCTAAATCTGTGGGTCTGACCTGCTGGGCTGTGCTACCAAAGGCAGAGGGAGT